AGTCTATGATCTTAACTATAATAATTACCCATGTTATGTAAATATTTTCAACCCCTTCTTGCTGTTGAAATAGAGAGGAAAGAGAGAAAGTGCCCAATCACGTGTCATATTTACAAATTAGAAATTATAAAATATTTTTATTTTTAAGGCTCTACCTTACCACTCATTGAAAGATCGTCTTCTTTTTTAAAAATAGTTTTAAGGTTGCCATGGAGAAGTATGGACTTTGGAATCAGACTAATCTGGATTAAACCCTGTTCTGCTGTTTATTATCTGCATGATCACAAAAATATATATATATCTTAAACCCAGTTTTCCCATTTGTAAGGAGATAAAATATGACAAGCTTAAACTATTATGTTCTAAGTTGTAATAATGGTAATTCTTAAATATCTTAAAATGAAATCACTTTGCCTATATTTCTGTGTCATTTTATTTTAAGTGTGTTATTTCCTTTATGACTTTCAGTGGTAAATACATGCTAATCACTTATCACCTTTAACAAATTAAAGCCATAAGATTATTTAGGTAATCTGCATCCTTTAATATAAGGTTATATAGTATAGGAATATTAGCATAAGAGTAGATAAACTATTTAATTTCCCCAAAACTAAACTTTCTGATATGCTGTGTTTTCTCCACATTTCACCAATTATATTTTATAAGTGGTCATTTTCTTCAAAAATATTTCCAATATCTGTTTCTTCTTTTCTAATCTTCACCTGTTCTGATTTAAAGTCTATTAATTTTACTCTTATGTGGTTTTTTTTGTGTGGTTTTTTTAAAATATATTTTATTGATTTTACACAGAGAGGAATTGAGAGGGACAGAGAGTTAGAAACGTCGATGAGAGAGAAACATCGACCAGCTGCCTCTTGCACACCCCCTACTGGGGATGTGCCCGCAACCAAGGCACATGCCCTTGACAGGAATCGAACCCGAGACCTTTCAGTCTGCAGGCCAACGCTCTACCACTGAGCCAAACCGGTCCCGGCTCTTATGTGTTTAATAATCTTATTATAGGGCTACACTTATTGGATACCTGCTCTATGCCAGCATCTTTGCATATGTTGCCATTAATCTCTCACAACTTTGCAAAATAACTAGTATTGTCTCCATTTTACAAATAAGAAAGCTGTCTGGTTTTAGTTTGCCCAAGATCCAAAAGCTAATAACATGACAAATTTGGCCTTTAACAATACCCATGCCCATGCTCTCTAACAGATCACATTGCCTCTTACTTTAGTATTAATTGGAATTGCTTTCAAAGTCACAGTATTTTTAAAGGCTATGTCTACCCTATAACTTTAGCAGTTTAAACTGGTCATGCCTGTTAGTAAGCAGTACAAACAAAGCCACAATAAATTATTCATTAAGTTCCTATATATAATCTGTATAGATAGAGACAGTCATATTCATTATGTTACATGTATTTGAAATAATAGTTTATTGTAATCTATGCACAATATGTGAGTCAATTTATTATATCTTTAAGATATAGACACAGTCTGTGTGAGTGCTGTACCAGTGTTAGTAACAGATACAGTATGCATAAATGTAGGAGTCCATAGATACTTTTTAAACTTTATACTTGAGGATATATTAATAATAGAAATAAATTAACATTCTTTATGACTCAGGTGATATAAATCAGTACTTAGGCAGAATAGGATGTGAAATGAAATCACTGAATTCTTTACATCTAAAACTGAGGTCTAGCCCCGGCTAGGGAGCTCAGTTGGTTAAAACATTGTCCCAAAATGCCAGTTGCAGTTTCATTCTCTGGTTAGGGAATATACAAATTCAACCAATGAATGCATAAGTAAGTGGAACAACAAATTGGTTTCTCTCTCTCTAATAAATAAAAATGTTTTTAATAAAAATAAAGTTGAGATCTGTCTACCCTAAATTATTTATAGAGTTTGGGTATGCTGAGTATATACCATAACTGTTGGCTAAAATGTGAAGAGGTACTCATAGCTATAGTCTACGCACAGTAAGAAGCAGTTTGACTCGGTTTACTGAAGGGGGAATTTCATGCTACAGGCTGTAAGGGAGACATGGGAATTCTCTTTTTGAGGAAAATGTTCTTTGAGAACACCGCATACTCCTAAAGCGGTGTTCTCCAATAAAACTTTCTATGATGATGAAAATATTCTGAATGCACTGTCGAGTATGCTTGCCACTAACCACGTGTGGCTGCTGCATACTTAACATGTGGCAAGTTCACTAAGAAGCCAAATTTTTATATTTCATTTTAACTTAATGCAGCAGCTATGGCTAACATGTGGGGCAGTAAGTATAGCTCTAAGGATTCTATGACTGAGTGATCAGGATAACATGCCCCCAGTACAGTGAACACTTTGAAAGATAGATGTTTATAGCATCTCTCACAGAAAATTTTTTTCTTTCCTTTTTTCCTATTTGAACTTGTTTTGTTAGTTGGTAAGTATAACATTTGAATTTACAAAGCATTCATTGTGATACATCATCACTCTAACACATTGCATGACCAGTTGTGTTTCATATTAAAAACCTGGTTACTCCCTTCTCTGCTCCTTGGTTAACACCTGTAAAATTCTGCAGTGTCTCTCATGTCTGTTATCTATCTTCTCTTTTGTTTTCTCACTTCTGCTCGCTACTCCATTTCTTCATTTACAACAAAGAAAGAAATGCAGTGATAGTTCTCTTCCTCCCAAAACCTCCGCTAGAAAACATTGGCCATCTCAAGGTAAATAGCCATGGGAAAGCCTGTCCTGATTGGCGGGAATAATATGCATTTCCAGAAAAGCATGAGCCACTGCTCTTCACCTTCCTTCTGCCGTCCATCTGCAGTGCTTTCCTAAAAAGGGCCATGGGTTCATATTCTCCCTGAGGTTTTCCAGGATCAACCAGTTCAGATCTTCAGGATGAGTAAAAGTGAACAGAAATATATATATTCCTTCTCCTTATATTTTGAAAGCCAACCTCATTTCAGTTAGAAGAAAAATAATATTGAAGAAGTTGCTTTGAAAAGCAGGGCAGTTGACCTGGATTATGAGTAATAAATTTTTTTTCTCTGACAATGTATGTTTGTTCATAAGTATAATGAGAACATTTGGCCTTTAAAACATTTTGAAGTGACCTACAACGACACATTCTTAATCAGAGGGATACATCTCAGTAGGACCAGTATCCCTAGTAAATGGTCTTGTGTTTCCTTATAAATATTCATTATTTTAATTTAAGCACAAATGTTTTACTATATGGAAGTTCTAGTATAATTATATCCAAGCTTAAAGTGTCAATGAGGTGCTACTTGGCTAACAAATATGCCAAAGCTTTCCCTAAAGAGTAAGGAGATATATAAATTTAAGCCTGCAACCTATATGGTGTGTATCTGTCCGTTTGTGACACCTATAAAGAAAATTTCCATGTACGCAGAGCCCAGAAATCTGTATTAAAGTACTTTAAAATATACAGAACTTTTTAAATTTTGTTGTTCTGTTATCTTTGCTGATTTCCTTTGTTTTTTTGAAGATTTTTTATTTTTAAATATATATATATATATATTTAAATATATTTTTATTGATTTTTTACAGAGAGGAAGAGAGAGGGATAGAGAGTTAGAAATATCGATGAGAGAGAATCATCGATCAGCTGCCTCTTGCACACCCCCTACTGGGGATGCGCCCGCAACCAATGTACATGCCCTTGACCGGAATCGAACCCGGGACCCTTCAGTCCGCAGGCCGACGCTCTATCCACTGAGCCAAACCGGTTTTGGCTAAATATATATATTTTTAACATATTTTATTGATTTTTCTACAGAGAGGAAGGGAGAGAGAGAGTTAAAAACATTGATCAGCTGCCTCCTATGCACACCCTACTGGGTATGTGCCTGCAACCAAGGTAACATGCCCTTGATTGGAATTGAACCTGGGACCCTTGAGTCCACAGGCTGACGCTCTAGCCACTGAGCCAAACTGGTTAGGGCTAAATATATTTTTATTGATTTCAGAGAGGGAGAGAAAGACAGGAACATCCGTGGTGAGAGAGAAGTATTGATGGGCTGCCTCCTGCACTCCCCACACTGGGTATCGATCTTAGTTCATAGATTAACGCTTAACCACTGAGCTACACGAGCCGGGCAAGGGCTTTTATTTTTAATGTTTTTTTTTATTTATTCAGAAAATATTTGAGAGCCTATAATGAGCAAAGTTCTGTAGAGTTGCTGTATATTAAAGAATCATTTCATGGAAATAAAATACAGAAGTGAAGAACTACTTTATAAATGACACAAAGAACTTTCTAATTTGAACTTAACTTTGCTTTTAAATTTTTATATCTTCTAATATAACTAGTTGCCTGTTTCCTAGGACTGGATAATATAATTGCAAAACTTTACGTTAAGGAAAAGAAAGTATTGCTTATCTCTTTTAAATGGAGACATTTTGAGGGGTCAGTTTGTCTTTTTAACTGACTTTCGAATATGAATTCTTGTCCTCTTCCTCCTTCTTGAAAACATGTTTTAATACCTCGCATATACAATGGTCTCATCGTGCTGACTTCCTTTTGGAACTGATTGCTTGTTGTTTTCAAGTTTAGGCAGTGAAGGCCCTTTTCTTGGTTGCATCCTTTGCCCTAGAGATAGGAATGGGTCCTTACCTGCTTTTTAAGCCCGTCCTGCATGCTAATATTGCTTTGGATCCCTGTCCTTTCTGGCCCAAAGATTTTGCTTCCCACTGCTTCTTCTGGGGAGCTCTCTGCTTGATTCTGGCTCTGGAAATAAAGATTGGCACTTTCTTGCTAAAATGATGGCATGAGCCACCAGATCATTGGGTTTTGAATAAAATATTAGTAATGTTATAACAAGCAAGTTTTGGGCTTGTTCTTCCCTCTCAAAAGACCTCAGTAAAGGTTGGGATCCATTGCTACAGATTAGTAGCGACAGGTGGTTTTATATGGGATGAGAGGCTGGATAGCCTGACCTGTACTAAAGCTCTTGCTTTTCCCCACAGGCGCCTACCCAGAGGTTCTACCCAGTGAAACTCCCACAGCAACGCAGGTAGATGGGGCTGACCTGGCCTCTCCAATGTCTCCTCGAACTAGCAAAAGCCGCATGTCCATGAAGCTGCGTCGGTCCTCTGGCTCAGCCAATAAATCCTAAGGAGACGAGCAGCCCACAGAGATCAGCAGTAGCCGCCCCAGCATGAACATAGTGTTAGCCCTTCCGGCTCTTACGTTTGCCCCAGCATGCATGTTCCTTCCTGAACATTTATTGTAAAAAGAACACTGGATTTAAATAATTTGTAACTTAATATTTTAGATGTGAGTTGTTTATTCAGTTGGTTTTTCCCCCCTACACTCTAAACTGCCTTGGGGGAGAGGGGCATTCAATACCCCTTTACCTTTCTAGATAATTATGTCTAAGAAGTTTTACTTTTGATTTCATGATTATTTTTGAACCAAAATGGAATTGGTTCTCATTATTTTATTTATCATGCCCCATTGCAACTTTATGGGCTCAGTAAATATATAATTTTTTTACAAATGTAAATTTTTAAATTTAAGCATTTGTAAAGTTATAGCAAAAGTTGCAAATCGTTAATATACAGATGTGTATGGATTATTTATGTTATGAAAATAAAACATTAAAATAAATGGCCTTTTAGCATCTCAAATTCTAACTGAAATAATTTTAGCATTAACGTTTTCTTCCCAAAGCAATGCCTCGTTTCTTGGCTGTGTGGTGACACCATGGCTTATCCAATAACCAGAAAAATCACTGTGCTAACTTTGATTTAAGTTTAGCTTCAATATTTTTCTAATGTTTTGCTTTTGAAATGTTATCACTGTTAAATGCCCTCCCCCTTTTTTTTTTGAGATTGTGGCCCTTTATTATTGGCTGGTGGATCCTGGTGTATCTATGTTCCTTCCTAAATACCATAAAGAGGGGAACTTGGGAGGAAAAAAGGAAAGAAGGAAAAAACTTTTCTGATATAAATGTGTTAAATTATGTATATTTTTTTTTAAGTAACATGACCCAGGAGTCCAAATTAAATCTAACATTGTTAATACTGAACTTGCAAGTGCAGGTTGGTATACATTCCACTCTCCAGAAGTGTTTTCCTACAGTAGATAAGCTGCTCACATTTTGCTCATATTTTGTTTTAAATGGGCATCTCCTAAGGAAATGTAGCATGGCATCGGTACTAACTGCATGTGTAAATACATCATACAACAAACTATAAAATATAAATTATGTATCATCTTTCATGTAGTATCTACAAATTTGTAACAGTGAAAAAAATATATAGTATTTAGTAATATAATAAAAATATTATCACTTATGTCCATTAGTGTTTTTGTCTTTTATGTATTTTCAGATTTAATAATCAGGGCTATATGATTAATGGAGTGATGTAAAGCATAAATCTAGATTATCTTAATCATAAACAATTGGCTTGAATTTTCAGGATACACCCCTGACTTATTTCACAGGGATCCTACCACAGTCATTAAAAATGCAGGAAATTTTACTCCTTCAAAAGGGCTGGTCAGAAGCTTTACCCCGTGCACTTGGTTAAAGCGTCGATTTATCTCAGCCTCATGTTTCTGTGAATTCTTAAGTTCACTTGGCTTATAGTATACATTCAGCAATAAAACTTTTTATGGTTTCTAAAACCTGTGCACTTAAATAAAAACTTCCTATGAAACAATGTAGAAAATAAACTAAAATTCCTACGAAAGACAATAAGCAAATGTCCCTTGAAACAAGACTGAACAATACAGACAGTTTCCCACAACCTAGGTGAAGAATTATAAAGTGGAAAGTCAAAGTAACTGCTTACACATTTCTACAGTGCTTTCAAATTTTTTTTAATGATCAGCCAATGGTTTGATGATATGTAACAGAACGGAATGAAAATACCAACTTGAAATAGTTAATTAGCACAATTAACATGATTGTTTTCATTTTCAAATAACACAACTAGATCTCTTTAAAATTTTAAATATATTTTCTGTTGATATTTTGGGGAGGTAAAGTGTCCTTAAAGAATAGTCTTTGCCTTTTGGAGCTCTCTTTGCACAGCAGTACTTTAAAAGAAATTTTTCCATTTCATTTCCTCACCATTACATTCATTTACAAAATAGAGTTCCTCCGGGCTGTAATCTAAGTGGGTCACTAAAATTATAAAGTAGGATACTGGCTTTGAGGAGATGTAGCTTTGAAAAATAGGCTGTCTTTAATGGAATTCTTAAGACAAACACGAAACACAAAGCACCAGCTATGTACATTTATTTGGTGGTGAGCGTCTTACAAAAGGGCGGCCTGTCAAGCAGTTCTCAGCTGATGTCCTAAACGCCGCTTTTAGGACATGGGTACAGAATGTACACCAGATGTGGTTTCCATAAAAATTGTAAGACAGATTGCTGAAAAGAAAATACTGGATACGGAATGATTTGCCATTCAGCTCCACTGTGGATTATAGGTATTAACATCTTCCTTTAACTGAACATAGTTTAATTTATAATACACAGTGCAAGGTTCACAACGGGAGCATCAAACAATTTGGATGAAACCCTACTAAAACAGTTAAACTTCAGAAAATGAGTTCTATATTTCCAAAAAGCTATTACTTTTTTTTTTTTTTAAGATTTAAAGTATCTCTTCCTGCTTACTATACACAAAATAGCTAAAGGTGAGCATCTTGGGGATATGTCAGCTGCTTCCTATAAAGTAGCTCGCTCCCCACCTCCAAACACTAACTTAAAAGTGGGCTAACACGGAGAAAAGGAAAGCTTACAGGGAGAGCTCCGCATCCCCCAAAGCACAAATACCCTATTTTCTATCTACAGACACAAGTCTTAAATCTCCCCCCACCCCATCAGTTTGGCACCAGTCACAACTTTTAATTCACAGACTATACAGTGCAAGATATCTGACCCTATTGAAACAAACTAAAAAGGTGCCTGCGATGACAACAGGGGGGGAAAAAATGACTGTAGACGTTGAGACATGCACGTATTCACTGCGACTTAACATAGGAATTACAAGTCATATGGGATTCATTGGACCTTCAGAGTTTGGGAAGTGAGGGGGGTGGGGATCCTTTTTCATGAGGAAAGAGGGATTTAAAGCTGGCAATCGCTGGCCTTGAATGCTTATGCCATCCATATCCATAACCTGCTCTGGAAAGGGATTTTACATTTTGCTGTCGCTCCTACGACAGAACATTGACTACTGAGACTTCTAGGAGAGAACACAGAGGAAGGAAATGAGGTAAACTTGCAAGCTGAAGAGAGCCCTACAGAAATTCCCATGATCTTTCCTCGGGGGAGGGGGCCAACCTCGCAAACTACCCGGTCTCCGGTCTCTGGTCTCCGGGCCCTCAACAGCCGGGCCGCAGGGGCATCTGCAGCAGCAGCACCTGCCGGCTCTCGGAGGGGTGGCACTTGTTGATGTGCCGCGTCAGCCCCGGGGAGCTGAAGAACGTGGACGGGCAGTGCTTGCACGAGAAAATCTGCTGGGCACTCCCGTTGGACGGCCCTCCCGGGCTCGGGGCTTCCGGGGCAGCGCCGGCCAAAGCTGGCAGGAGCAGCTCCTCCCGGACCGCGTGCCACAGCCGGTGCTTGTCCCTGATGTCCGCGGACGGGAAGTGCGCCCCGCACAGCGGGCAGGTGAAGGCCAGCGGGACCCCGCGTTCGGAGCCAAAGCCCGGGGCCAGCGCGCGGGCCGCACCCGCCTCGTGAGTGCCCAGGTGCTTGCGCAGGTAGGCTTGGCGGCGGAACTTTTTGTGGCAATAGGGGCACACGAAGATCTCGGGTCCCCCGACTCCACCGGCACTGCCCGGCCCGGGCAGCCGACGCCCCAATACCCCTTCGGCGTAGGGGACCCGAGGCAGCGGCGCCTCGAGGGGGGACAGCGCCGGGAGGCCCTGCGGTGGGGCGCCGTCCGGGCGCGGCTCCACGCGGGAGCTGTCCCTCGGCTGCAGGTGCTGATTCCCCGCCTGCTCCGCGCGGCTGTTCTCCTTCCCCTCCGCCAGGAAAGAGGCCACGGCCGCGGGGCCCGGGGAGGCCGGGGGAGGCAGCTTCCGGTCCATGGAGGCGGCGGCGGCGGCGGCCACCGCGGGACGCGGCTTGTGCCAGCGGCGGTGGGAGGCGAGGTTGGCCGGGCAGCTGAAGACCTTGTCGCACTCGGGGCAGCGGTACTCCACGCGCACGATGCGGGAGCAGCGGTGCTGGGCCAGCGCGAAGGGGTCCGCGTACTGCTCCTTGCACAGCTGGCAGATGAACTCTCCCAGCGGCGTGCGGCTGCCCCCCGGGCCGCGGGCCGGGGCCCCGGGCTCCTCCTCCTTGATCTTCAGGCCCAGGACGGGCGACGTGGTCACTTCGTCCGCGAAGCTCAACTTCCTCATGGCCTTGGGCTTCTTGGCTCCCGCGGCCGCCGCGGGGCCCGGCGCGCAGCCCGGAGGCGCCTTGGCGCGGCCGCGTTCGCCGGGGGCGGGACGCTTCGGGCCGTGCAGGGCGGCCGGGAGCGGCGCGGGGTCCGGGTGCAGCTCGGGCTCCGGGAACGGCGCCCGGAGCGGCAGCTGGAACGGTTCCCCCGAGGTCGGCGCGGCTGCCGGCGCCAGGGCGCAGGAGAAAGCGGCCACGGCGGCGGCGCCCCCGGGGAAGGACTCGGCGGAGGCGGGCGAGCGGAGGCAGCGCTCCAGGAACGCCCGGCGCAGCTCCACGCCCACCGGCTTGGCAGGGCTGGTGCTGGGCCGGGGGCTCGCCCTGCCATCCGCCCTCCACGCGGCACCTTCCCGCCCGCCCGCCCCCGGGCTCACCCCAGAAGCCCGGCAAGGCGAACCCGACAGTTCCCGGGCCGCCGCCGCCTCCTCCAGCCCCTTCCCCGGCTCCCGGCTGGAGGGCGCCGCGGGCTCCGCATCCGGCCCGGGAGCCCCGGAAGCCTCCTGGGCGCAGGGCGGCCCCCCCCGGGGCTCGGGCGCGGGGAGCCCCCGCTGGGCCAGGCGCGCCCGGTACGCGCCGCCGGTCCGCTTGGTTCGCTTCACCAGGAAGCCCCGCGGCATGGCGGCGCCGGGGGCCGGGGGAACGGGGCGCTCGGGGGCTGAGCGGGGAGCTTCGTGGCGGCGGGCATGCCTGCGCGGCCTTTATAGCTGAGACTCAGGCCCGGCTCCGCCGGCGCCGGGGCCGCGCGGGCCAATCAGGAGTGGGAGCGGGCTCGGGGGCGGGGCTTCCTCGGAGCCTGGCTCTCGGGGTCCCCGGCGGGCGGCGAGCGCGCCCCGGTGCGCCTCCCCGGGCCCTGCGCGCGTCTGGCCCCGGCCGACCTGGGGGCTGCCCGAGGCATCCCCCGCCCCGAAACCCCATATCCCGAGGCATTCCTCCCCCCCCCCGACACACACATCCCCCGAGGCATCCCCCCAAACCCCACACCCCGAGGCATCCCCCCAAACCCCCACACCCCGAGGCTTCCCCCAAACCCCCACACCCCGAGGCATCCCCCCAAACCCCCACTCCCCGAGGCATCCTCCCAAACCCGCACACCCCGAGGCATCCCCCCAAAACTCCATATCCCGAGGCATCCCCCCAAACCCCCACATCACAAGGCATACCCCCAACCCCCCCCATACATACACACACACACACACACACACACACACACACTCCCCGAGGCATCCCCCCAAACCCCACACCCCGAGTCATCCCCCAATCCCCCACACCCCGAGGCATCCCCCAAACCCCCACCCCGACGCCCAGCGGGAGGAAGAAGACGGGGGAAGGGAAGTCCCGGTGAGCACGCTCCGCGCTCCCCACCGCAGCCGCCTCCGGGGACGGTACCCGGAGCCCCGCTGGGGGGCTCCTGCCGGCGCCCTTCGCCCGCGGCTCCGGCCCCTGGCTGCCTGGACCTGGTGGGAAATGATGGAAAAGCCCCTCCCGCTGCGGAGCGAGCTGAGAGGGAGCGGCCGGCTGGGCGGGCCCGGGGGCGTCGCCGGGAGAGGGTTAAGGTCCCGGGCGGGCGGCGGGCCGGGGCCCACACTGGCCGGCGGGGGCTCTGCCGCCCGGTATCGATCCGCGCGGCGCGCGTCTGGGAGCCGCGAGGCTCCATCTGGGAGAAGGGCTCTCAGGCGGAGAGCGTGCGTGCCGCCGGGCTCCCGGCTCAGCCGCCGCAGGCTTCTGGGCCCTGGGCCTGGGGATTATCTACGCACCCTGCCCGATGGGCACGGGAGTGGGTGGGGAGGGGGGTTAGAATCTAATTTCCCACTGTCCTCCGGTCAAGTGGGTTCTCTGTGCACACCTGCCACTTGTGCTGCGCAGAGACATGACCTGGTGCTTCCCTGGCATGGTTAGCGCGGAGCAGATGGAGTGGGAAATGCCGGTAGAATCAGGATTATGCTTCCCCTGGTAGAAGTGGTTCTTTGCAAAAGGTGTGCTGCAGGCCAAACTCTCTAGATTTTCAACCAGCACCCTGTTTTAAACGCTAGAAGGTATTTGAAAGTTTGTAACACTAGCCGAACTGCGAAATAAGTAGGAAACATATGACAGATGTATAATAAAGTGCCAAATCCATAAGATGGTTATAAGTACAATGTGAGAATAAGAAGGGGAGAGAGCTAGGTGTCTGAGTCCCCTTACAGAACATAGTGCAGAAACAGCCTGAGCAATGTGTCAGGTCCTCAGCACACACTGTCTTCCTTCTAGGGAATGAAGTGTTTTTACCGGGAGAACATTATTGTTAAGCAGACTTGGGAGTAATTATGTATGTTAATCATTGCCTATATTTTAGGCACTCTACCTAAGTAATCTCTCATATTTTCACACATGGGCAAAACAAGGACATATTTGTACTTTCCCTTTTTTTTTGATGAAGGGATTGAGCCACAAAAGAAGTTAGGTAACTGGTAAAAAAAAAAAAAAAAAAAAAAAAAAAAAAAAAAAAAAAAAACAAAAAAAAAAAAAAACCAAGAGTCTCCTCACACTGAGTTCTGGCTAATTCCAAATCACACTCTTCAACTCATTTTTTTTTTTCTGATTGCATCTCACAATAAGACATATTTTACAGCACAGACACAAGTGAAATAAAAAGATTCGCAAAAGAATGCCCTTAAGTAGTGCAATGCATTCTTGCTTTTCTATTTCCTTTTTTAAAAATGCTGATCATAGCAAACTAATTTGTTTCATAACTTACTAATAGATTGGGGCCCAAGTTTGGAAAACACCATCATTGTGGTATTTTCTACTAAATAGCAGGAAATCATATAAAATTAACTAAATAAGCCTTACACTTTATAATAAAAATTAATATTCTGAATCACTACTTAAACCAGCATTTGCACTTCTGGGCATATGCACGAAAGAACTGACGACATCTAAAACACATTCTTTTACACTGATATGCATGGTAGATTATTCGGAATAGCCCAAAAATGGGGGAAAAAACAAACTATTGTCCATCACAGATAAGTGTGTAAACAAAAAGCGGGATATATACAAATGATAGAATATTACCCAGCCATAAAAAAGAATGAAATACTGATACAACATGGATGAATCTTGCAAAAATTATGCTAAGTGAAATGAGCCACAATAGGGCAAATATTATAAGATTTCACTTATATGAAATACCTAGAATAGGCAAATTCATAGAGATAGAAAGTAGGTTATTGGCTATCAGGTTCTGGGGGAATAGGAACTTACTGATTAGAGAATTTGTTTTGGAGTAATAAAGTTTTGTTAATCAATAATGATTAATGGACAACATTGTGAATGCAATTAATGCCACTGGATTGCACATTTAAAATGTGTTAAAATGAACATTGTTGTTATATGTTTTCCACACAAAAATGTTTCATATACACAGAAGAATGAAAGGAAAAAATCATGATATGTCAGATTGTAAAAGGAATATAAAAGAGCAGGTAATGTAATTTGAACTTTATTGCATAAGACAGGCAAGGAGAACCATTTAAAGTTTTAAAGTTAGGGGTGACATTTGGTTTTTCAATTGCATGAGGGAAAGTATCTTTAGCTTTATCTGCTGCCAGAGAGAAAAAGGGAAATGCCAATATATGGACCTCTTCCTCTCAGTCCCTTTTTAACAACTGAGAATGTTTGTCTGTTTCTAGAAAAGAAAAAGAAAAAGATGAAAACTTAAAAAGTCAAAAGAGCAGTTATGAAATGTTTAACGAAGTGATTGACAGAACTGATATGCAGTAAATATTTGGAATGAACGGTTCTAGTTCTTAGGTGGACAGCAGATGTGTCCAGCCATCTATCCAGCCATCCCGTCTTCCACATGCACATCTATTCCATCACTCATCAAAGAATTGCTGTGTATTCTTCCTGTGACAGTTCAGAAACAGTGTGCAGGGAGTAACTTCCCTGCTATTTTCAGGAACACTGATTTGTGTAGGAGAAGGCCAGCCAGCAGCTGTTTGTGTTTCTGGCCCCCATATTACAGAAGTTTCCCCCGACATCTCTGGTTAACCCAAAGGACATCATCATCAGGTGGCCAAAGGGTTTGCTTCCGTGCTGCCCTCACTCTGCAGTCCTTCCTGTGTGAGGGAGCGGCTGGGTGCTGCTACGCGGCCCCCTGCGTGGCTCCCCTCTTCGGGCGGCATTCCCACTCCCTCCCCTTCTCTGACCTCTGCTCCTCATCCCCTCACCCCCCCACATCCAGTGAGCATCCAAACTCCATTACAGGAGGGCCTCCTGAGCTTCACTGCACACGTGCGTCTGTATTCTCCATACTCTGTAGCACTTGTATTGGCAGCCGCTATTGCCTGAGAACTATTAGAGAGAGCACATAATGATGAGTGTAATAACACACAGCTGTTCCTCCTCGTTATTTAAAGAAAACGGAGAATTGCTGTCACATTGTCTAACAAATCCAGTAATGTCTCCCTCCACCCCCACCCCCACCCCCGTTATAATTTGATAATCTTTCTGAAAATCAGTTTGACAATGTATATTGAAAGCTTTTAAAAACGTGTAAACCCGCCCTGGCTGTAGCTCAGTGAGTGGTTAGAGCGTCCACTCATGAAAGGGGTGCAGGTTAGCTAAGGATGGCGAGTTTGCTTCCAGCTCCAGGTCCACCTGTGTGGGAAGCAACCAACCTCTTCTCCCTCCCTCCTTCCTTTTCACTGTCTCTCTCTCTCTAAAAAACAAAAACAAACAAAAAAAACCTCCAAAATAAAACACAAAACCCCATATATATCCAAATAAGAAAAAAAAGAGACATGAATACCTTTTAATTCACCAATTACTCTTTTAGTAAATCACCCAAAAGAAGGGCAGCGATTTTTGCACAATGCTGTTTATCAGTGTTATTTCTAATTGCAAAAAATCAGAAAATAACTTGAGTACATCATAGTGCAGCTACTCTACGGATAATTTCGTAGCCATAAAAACGAAGTGACATGGACAAGTATATATGCATAATGTTAAGCGAAAACAGTTCCATGCACAATAAAGAGCTCGGTTATGAAAGAACAAAATGAATAAAACACCAGAAGGAAATATGCCAAAATGTTGTTGGAGTTGCCTCTGGTGAGTAGGAATTTTAGTTCTTTTAAACTCCTGTTAAAATGTTTTGCAATCAGCACACATCAGAAACAGGTCCTGTAAAGGCTGCCGCGGCGCCTTTCTGGGGGTAGATGTGGTGCCCCTTCCCTCGGACACTGCTGGAGGGACGACAGAGCAGCATCGAGTGGGAATCCACAGGTAAGGAGCCTTCTCCTGTCACCTGCCTGCACTCTGGCTCTGGAAAAGAGGCGACAAGCTTCTATCATGCCACAGACCTCCCGGTGGGTGGAGGAGAGACTACGGGCCAAAAGGCAGGGGAGAGAAAGAGTTTAGATGGATGCCCTCCACTTGGGTATAACCCTAGATCCTTAATATATGAACTCTTCTTTCTCCATTTTCCCACTTGGAAATTATGACAAACACAGAGAGGTGCAAATTAAAACGACAATGAGGTATCACTTCGAACTGTGTGTATATGCACAGACCATGGACATGGACAATTCGATGGTGAGAGCCAGGGGTCGGGTGGGGTAGGGGGGAGGGCTGG